TGATTTTTTCCCGTTCAAACTCTGATGAAAACTACAGGCTTTCTTCCCATAAAAAATGCACATATGCACAAGCAGGAAAGGTTGCCTGTCATTTCAGGGGGTTTAGGACCCCCGAGATAGCCAGAGATCACAGGATAAGAAACATTGCTGTGGAAGTAAAAGAGGCAGAAACACTTATATGGATATTTTTATGACATGCAGTGTATAGTATATAGCCCCAAAAGCTGAAGAAGCCAGTTCCTGCTCCTTCGTATGTTCTCAGATTTATCCTTTCTATTGTTTTGTTTTCTCCTTGTTTTAGTTTGTTTTCCTTTTTGAACTAGATAATGCAAGTACTTGGCAAAAATATTTTTTAAAGGTACCTAAGGACATTCAATGAAAAATAATGTTCCTCTCTCCCTCCCTACCCCAGTTCCCTCCCCAGAGGCATCCATTATTAGCAGTTTCTACTGTATCCTTTCAGGAATATTCTAAGTATACATACGTAAATATAATATTCTCCTTCTCTTCCAGAGGACAACATACTTACACATTTTTTGCACCATGCTTCTTTTTCCTTTAGTTCTCTATTTTAGAAATTATTTACTATTAGGATTTATAGCTCTGCCTCATTCTTTTCCCATGCTTCATAATATTCCATTGTGTGGCTAAACCATAACTGATTTAATCTGACCCTATTTATTGAACTTTTCTTTTTAAGAGATGAGGTCCCACTCTGTCACCCAACCTAGAATGCAGTGGTGCCATCATAGCTCGCTGTAACCTCAAACTCTTGGGTTTAAGCAGTCCTCCTGCCTCAGCCTCCTGAGTAGCTAGAACTACAGGCGCATGCCACCATACCTGGATAATTTTTTTATTTTTTGAAGAGATGTGGTCTCCCATCCAAGTACTACCCAGGCATGCTTAGCTTCTGAGATCAGACGAGATTGGGCACATTCAGGGTGGTATGGCTGTAGACAATTTTTTTATTTTTTTGAAGTGACGGTGGGTCTCACTATGTTGCCCAGGCTGGTCTTGAACTGCTGGCCTCAAGCGATCCTCTCACTTTGGCCTCTCAAAGTGCTGGGATTACAGGTGTGAGCCACCAGGCCTACCTGCATCTAATGAACATTTAGTGGGCTGCTAGTATCTGTTTTTTTTTTTTTTAACTACAAATAATGGTGCATAATGTGTTTATGTGAAAGTATACCCATGGGATAAAGCAGTGGAATTGCTGAACCAAATTAAAAATTCTGATAGACATTATCAAACTGCTTTCCAGAGAAGTTATATATGGGCGGCAAAATAATGGCCCCCGAAGATGTCCACATCCTAATGCCTGGAACCTGTAAATATGTTACCTTACATAGTAAAGGGGAAACAAGGGTTGCAGATGGAATTGGTGTTGTTCATCAGCTGACCTTAAAATAGGGAAATTATCCCGGATCACCTGGGTGGTCCCAGTGTAATCACAAAGGTCCTTACGAGTGGAAGAGAGAACTGGAGAGATGGCAGTATGAAAAACTCTTGGCTCTATGTTGCTGGTTTTGAAGAGGGAAGAAGGGATTTTGAGCCAAGGAGTGCAGGCAGCCTCTGGAAAAGCAAGGAAATGGAAAAGGCAAGGAATGCAGCCCCGTGTTGGGTTTCTGAGCCACAAAACTGTCAGATAATAAATTTTTCTTGTTTTAAGCCCTAAATTTGTGGTAATTTGTTACATTAGCCATAGAAAACTAATACATTACATGTATTTACACGCCCACCAATAATGTGTGTTGCTTCATACCCCCCATTATAATGTGCCTCTTTTTTCTTAGTTTCTTCTCCTCATATGAATACTCCTTCTGTTATTTATAAAGAAATGTTTATGATATTGTATTTTTTTTTTTTTAGACAGGGTCTCATTACATAAGCCAGGCTGGTAACTCTTGGGCTCAAAAGATCTTCTCATCTCAGCCTCCCAGGTAGCTGGGACTACAGGGGTACCACCATGCCCAGCTCTAATTTTGTGTCTTATAATAATTAATTTTTTTAGTTAAAAGTAAAATCTCAGCCATAATTATCTGACTGTCATAGTCTTGTTTTTTGCTAATTTACTCTTTGGAAAATTCCCTTTTGGGGCATGTTTCATTTTCTTTTATGGGGCCAGGAGGTGAACAGACTGTGCTGGATGTGTCATTTCTGCAATGCTGACCAAGCTGCACTGCAGAAACACTCTGGAAATAGAGGTCATTCTTGGAATCTGTTTGCTGCCACCAATGGTACCTACCCAGGTAATAAAGCCATTCTCTTTTTAAAAAATATTTTTTGTATATATTCATGGAGTACAAGTGCATTTTGCCACATTGATATATTTCATTATGGTGAAATCAGAGCCTTCCTGACATCCATCACTGTAGCAGCACACATTGTACCCACGAAGCAACCTCCCATCATCCCCTCCCTCTCCTGCAAGCCATTATCTTGAAGTGGAGACAGTGTAATCCTTAAACATCTTTGCTTGGCCTCCTGCAGAGGTGGCAGCCTCGGTGATTAATTACTCTGCAAGACGGGTGAGAGGCATTGTGTATGTAGCAACTTCCACATCTCCAAGGCAGCTGGGAGCCTCAGGTGACCATGGTGGAGGAAATTGACAGAGTGTGACTATTCCCTATGAACTCATTTAATTTAACATCCCCCATGACAGACTAGCAGAAGTAGTTGTGCCTTGTTCTTTCTCATTCTGCACAGTTAGTTTGTACTGATGGGGTAGGACCTCTGCTTGGTGGGACCTCCCTTACCCATGTACATTAACCCCTACGGACTGGCTTGACCACCTTTGCATTTAACATTTATTCAAAGATATTTACTAAGTATCTGCTATACTAGGTATTTAGGATACAAACACTTAGCCATGCAGAGTTTACAGATAGTAATCACCAATCACAGGATCAAATGTAAAGCTGCTATTGTGGCAGCTGCTACAAAGAGGAGATACATATATTTATAATAGTGAGATTTTACCTTGTTGGGGGAGCAGACGAGAGGCCTGGGCGGGATATGTAAATCTACATATGTGTGTTAATCAATACCTACACCGGATGACACTCTAGGTAAAGAGTATATAGAGTGAGGAAAGGAAAAAACTAGAAACATTGCTTAGCAGATGGAGGGGGATAAATAGTGACAGAGAAAGAATGGCCAGAAAGTTGGAGGGAAACCTGAAGAAGGTTGTGCCCTAGAAGCCAAGCAAGGAGAGTCCAGTTTTATTAAGAGTTAAGACTAAGAGGAGCACTGGATGGAACATTGTGTCTCTAGGGATCACCACGATGTCTGTGTTGCAGGCCCAGTGATGTGGTAAGGTGCCCCTGCATTCAAATGTGGCTGCTCCCCTTATTATTTGCATGGCCTTTGGCAAAAGGCTGACTGGCTTCAGATTCTGCATCTGTAAAATAGGGATAATATCTCCCTCAAAGAGTTATTGTGGGGATGAAATGAATTAGTACATGCTATGTGCCTAGCACCTTGCAGATGCTCATAAAGATTAATTTCTTCCATTACATCTTTGGCTACTTATTAACCTGCTTTGGTTGTTATTTTCCTTGACATCTTAGCATTGGTGCTGTGACTTACTTTTGAGGATCATCACAGGTCCTGTCCCACATCATTTTGGGTGCCAGTGAGTTGTGAGGTGACAAGTCAGTGATCTGGACACTATAGGGAGTCAGGTACCCATTTGTCTATCTCTTGGTGTGTAGAGAGACAGAGCAATAGGAAGTGGATAAGGATACAACATACCCTTCTACAACATACTGAGCTTTCTTTCTTCCAGGGAAAGGAACTCCAACTACCAAAATCAATACCTAATCTTGTCTCCAGCCATCTTTCTGCACTGTTTCCAATTGCATAAATCTCCAATACAAAATATTAGTAATAAATGACTGAAGACAATTTAAGATTTCTTTTTCTTTTTTTGGAAGACAGCATTGGCTCTCCCAGATTTCTTCGATTACTAGAGGCAGCCTGCTTCTCCCTGCTCCTTTCTTTCGTTTTTGTCTATCAAATACGGTGAATGGAAAAAATACGATTCCCTCTACTGGCTGGGAACTCTTGCTCTGCTCACCACCCTGATGATGGTTTTTGCAGTGTTAACCTGGGCTTTGGCAAACACGGTACCTCCTCATTGGGAGATAAGGTAGTTTCAGCGCTTTCCTTAGATTAACTAAACCCCAGAAAAGGCTGGGCAATGCCATGAAGAGAGAGAAGGACTTTTATTTCTATTGTTGCTAACACGGGATACCTAACTTTTAAACCTGTTTAAGAATTATCCTCGTACTAATATTTCTAATTAACACGTTTAATTTCTTGTTACTGACGGTTGGCTATGTTTTCCAAAACCAAACATGAGGATATATTTAATAAGCAAGAAAGTACCTTTAGGGACAGGCAACCATATTAAATTAGAATTGTTACAGAAATTCCAGGGCTTGGGAGTCGTGTAGCTACTGAAGATGCGGAGTACCTAAATTATAACAGTTCTGATCTTATTCCACTTTTAGAATGTAAACTGTAAACATTTTAACACAGTGATTGGGGATAAAGAGATCTGATGGAAAGAAAACTAGGACTCTTAGCATCTCCGGATCCGGCTGCCACGCCCAGTAGCGGGCCAGTGACTCGAGCTAGGGCACCGCGGGGCGGCGGGCACCCGGCCGCGCGCTGCAGGCGGAGCACAGAGGGCGCGCCTGCGCCGGGGCCGCGCTCGCGTTCCAGGGTGGAAGGTGGCGCGTTTGAGCGTCCATGGCAACGCGACGACGCTTCCGTCTTCTGGAAGCCTACACTGCAGCTCTTGTTGTGAGAGACCTGTCCCGGTGGGAGGGACCAGGGCTGGGCGGGGGAGACGTATGGGGGAACAAGGGGGTGGGGGGCTGGGGAAGCTTCTGGGAACATTTGCCCTAGGGATTGAATTAAACTAAGAAAAATTGGTCCAAAGCCGGGCACAAAAGGATCTTTTCATTCCAGTCCTTTCGCCCACGCAGGGAACGATGCCTTTGGAGGTAGTGGTGGAGCTGCAGATCCGGGCGGTAAGAGATCTACGAACCCGCTCCTTAACCCAAAGTCAGTCTCTTGGGTGATTTTGCCCACCCCTCCCCGACTTACCACACACTCATCATTATCTTTTGGGACAAATCGTCCTTTTGTCCCTAAGATTTTCTACATTGGTCTTCCCAGACTTCCTAACCTTCCTAACGCTCAACCAGCTCTACCTTTTTTTTTTTTCCTAAACTAACTTGTTTCTTAACTTTATCCTGAATTATTCCGTCCTTTTAAAACAATCCTGCAAATAGGACTTTCTTTTCCAGGATAAAGATTTGTGAAAGGATTTTTAAAACTTCTCCTTTAAATAACATGGGAATAATTGAATTTTAAAAAGCCCCATCACTTCCTGATAATACGACACCTCTGTGAACCAATCAGATATTTTCTAAGCTATTTCCCCTAGTGATGGCTCTGGCTTGCTACTTCCAAAGGGGAAGTCAATCAACAAATATTTTGTAATTATCCACCAAATGCTTCCTAAGTAAGGTACTGTGACAGAGTGCTTCCATTATTCCTATCTGGGGGTCAGTCATTCCTTTTATTTTAGCTTCCACTTTCCAATCCTTCCATCTGTAGTGACAGACTATCCTGCAGCTTTGGCTCCAAGCTACTAGGGGCTTCTCTACTGGACATGATTACAAGCACAATGCTAACAGGATACAGCCATGGAATCTGGTTAGCCTCCATACAACTGGCACATGCTGTGGTTTCATCATACATGTAGCTGTGAAACAAAGCTGATCAAAACTTCCTGGATTTCTCCCACTTTGCTGACAGCAAATAGGGCCAGACCGTATCAGTTGTGCTACATCAATTTCAGGCTCTCAAAATTGTGCGGGAAGATGAAAGAACCCTTGAGAAGCTAAGTGATAAATCAGTCTCCCTCCTCAAGGCAAAAATGAAACAAGTTTTCATCTCACTTTATTTAACATTACTGGTTAATTTTATTTTGATTTTTAAAAGGCATTCCTCAGTGTACAATTAACAAAGAAATCAGTTTTCTACTCTACAGTACTTCGGACACTCCAAAAACATCAGGTGAATTGATCTTTAAAAGCCAGCCAACTCAAGCCCCAGCAAGGAAAACAGGAAATTCCAAAAGTATAACTACGAACCAGAAGGTAAGCCTCATTTCAAGCCGCCAATATTTGGACTTATGGACGCTGCAAGAGGAAATATCATTGCTTCCAGTTGCTTCCAAGTATCTGGCCTGAATGCTGCAATTAAAATAAAGGATCTCTCTAAGGTTAAACCTCAGATCCAAACCACTTAGAGTTTTACAGTTTGGCTGATTTAGTAAGTGAAGAGGTAGTAAGTGTTCAGGGTGTTGTGGGAATACAAATGATTTTATTTTGAGGAGTAGCTGTTCCTTTTTCAGTGTGCCCTTCACTCTCAGGTCATGCTTCCATCCAATCAGAATCTACTTACCACAGCCCATTCTCTAGTTTCCTAGCTGCATCTCTCTATGTCAGATCAAAGTATATAATCTTTTCTAATTATAAATGCCAAAATAATGAGTCATTAAGGTTATCTGAAAATACCACTTCCATAGGTAATTTAAAGGTTTTCTTTTCAGGTAGAGCAGCACTTAAAGTACATACCCTCTTCAGTCTTTCTGGGTCAAAGAGCAGTGAGCAGAGTCCACCCTGGGATTGGTGGTCTTTGGTCTTAAAGATTTCAGAGGCACCATGAACCATGAACAGCTTGAAATGTAAAAGTCAACGTAAACAGAAATTTAGGAGTTATGCCTTGTGCCTGATACAGTGGCAGGCTCCCCTGATGTATTTCAAGTTAAATACTATTATGTAAAGTGTGCTATATACAGGAAAATGGAATTTCATATGAAAAACTATAGTAAACAAGGTCATTCTTATGGCATATATGAGAAATCTTATGCTGTTGCATTGAAAAGAATCATGTTATTTTCCCATTTATTACCCTGATAGAGGAACATTATTCTTTATTCAGTAGGGATGACTGGCAGCAGGGCCCCATCTCCTGCCATACTGGTCATTGGCATAATATGTGGTCAGCCTATTCCCAAACTTTCAGTTCCTCTTAACTTTCCCCAGCAACTTAGCTTCTCTGCCCTCTGTCATGCCATGTTATTGGTTCTCAACAGAATTAAGCATGAGGCCATAGTCCCATTCTTCCTTTTTTATGGGCACCTTAGATATGCCCAACCTTTTAAATGTTTCTTATTTAAGTAAGTTCTTGGCTTATTCTCTGAATGCTAAAAGACAGTATTAGGGAGTAGTGGGAAATACATATCTATTTAAAGTTCTTTTGAGGGGTAGAGGGAGAGAGAAAGACAGTACTATCATCTCGTTGTCACTACCCAATCCACAAAAATGGAAGAGATAATAAAGTAAAAAAGCTTACCAAGAAAATCAGGATTAAGAAGAAATCTTCTCAACTGTGGCAACAGATCTTCAGGAAATAAGCTAGAAAAACCTGTCTTAGACTTTAAAAATACTGTTTAAAATCTACCTCAGGAAAAGGACTAGGATTGGTACATGGTTTCTTTGCATGTATATTTACAGAATGAAGATATGTTTCTTAAAGTTAAATTTACAAGTGATATGTTGACTTAGGGGATTACAACAAAACACAAATCTTACTGATGTCAACTTTTGAAAAACAGCAGCAGTATAACCACCCCAGCTTGGTTTCTTTGCAGTTGTCCTGGAGATATAAACAGTTGCTGAATAAATATATAAATAGAGGGATTTTTTTTTGTTGTTTGCTTTCCTATTATGGCTGTGTTCAGTAATGGCCAGCACGTGCTCCAGCCTAGCAACACACCAAGACGGTGGGACACCTGAAATCCCAAAGGAAGCCTGAAATGTCTAAGAGGGGCAAGCAGGATGGCGGCTGATTTAGGTTGGCATCGTTGAAATGGTCAGACCTCCTGGTGCCATAATCAATGAGATAGTGTCATTGTTGATTCCACAATACAAAGAGGACAGGAGCATTGTGGGGTGAGAGCCAGCAATAGTCCACGATGCTGTACTGCATGTAGCCCAGAAAAAAGCCAAAAGCCACGTCGGTGACATTGTGCCGCCCCAGCATGACCCTGGAGAGGCCCAAGACGAAGGCCCACAGCACCACCAGCACCCTCAGCGGAATGGCCAGCACCAGGTGGTTCAGGATGAACCTCGACACCAGGACGGCCCTTGTGGCATGGCCCGAAGGGAAGGAGTACTTGTCCACTGAGAGAGTGACAAACATGTCCATCTGGTTGTGGGCCGGGCGGCGCCTGCGGACCAGCCCTTTAATCAGGGCCACCAACAGAAGGTCCAACAGCAGGGCAAAGAGCAGGTTCATCAGCACCTCGCGCCCGGCCCAGCTGTCGCTCCTAGACAGGCAGTAGAGGGTGCCCAGCAGCCAGGGGATGCCGTGTCCCGAGATCTCCAGCAGCTTCATAAGGGGCCGCACGCTGCCCCAGGACGAGCTCTCCCCGGCGCACACCCCCAGCTTCTTGGACAGCCACAGGTCAATGGCCAGCAGGGAGCGCAGGGCGATGCCCAGGAAGGACGGGTTCAGGTCCATGCGGTCCTCCTCGGGCAGCGGGGGCGGGGGCGCCTGCGAGGGGCCGGCGGCGGCCAGGGGGAAGGAGCCGCGGCGGTGCACCGGGCTTTCGGACGCGCGGAGCCGGGCACAGGTGAGGTCCGCGCACGTAGCGCGGCTGCTGAGAAGAGACTGGAACTCGAACCTGCCGCCGCCGCCATGGGCTGGGCTCCCGGGACTGCTGCTGCTGCTCGAAGCGGAGGCGCCCAGCGGCCGTCCCTCGACGCTCCTTCGGGGGCTCGGCATCGCGGCGGGCGGTCCCGACCCCGGGACCTGACCGGGCTCTAGAGAGGCTCCCGGGCCCTGCAACCTCTTCCGCTTCCGCACTGCCATCCTGGAGGGGCGGGGAGAGGAGCCGGCGAGGGCGCGATTGTGACACCTGGCGGAGACGTGGGAAGGAATCGGAATTTCCACTGTGAGGGAGGAGAGCAGAGAAGAGCAGAGGGGAGGATGTTTTGCTGGGAGGTATAGGTGAGGAAGTGTGGTGATGGGGGGTGGGGGGAGGAATTTCAGTGTCCCCGGGAGTTTAGGAGAAATAGAGCCCCGTTTAACAAAACAAAGCAAACCCTACTTTCTCTTTTGTTTTCTTTCTTTTTAAGATCTCTTGCCCAGGGGTGTTCCTACCTGGCAAGCAAGATGTGTACCTCGGGGTCTACCTCCTGAATCAGTATCTGGAGACAAACTGCTTTCCTTCTGTGTTCCCTATTATGATTCAGCAGAGCATGAGATTTGAAAAGGTGATTTGGACTTTGTCTTTGGGTTTTGCTGCCTGAAGATAATCTGATAGTTCTTAGAAAGAAAATAGTTCCTACTAAATTATTTTGCGAATTTCCTTTTAATTTAAAAGGCACTTCAACACAGTACAAAACCACAGTCGGCCTTGAAGAAAAACCATTGTTGGAAGACTTGATTTTGCATTGCAGACCTGAGCCAAGTTCTGTCAATCTAGAGCTAAATACCCTGGTCGATGTTTCCTATTTTTGGAACTCCCATGGCATTTTATAACTGGAGCAGAGAGAGCGTTTCTGAATGCTCTTAGAGGTGTTAGAGGCAATTGCATTACTTTTATGAAAGGGATTACTAATAAACTGCAGACCTTAGGAAAAAAACTTTTTTAGATCCAGAAAAATAATGAAAACTATAACCAAAGTAGATAAATCCTGTAACAGAACAAGAAGGTTCTCAGATTTACTGAGTTTCCTTAGGTCATACCTGGTTTATTTAGCTACAGTGATAAAGGCTAAATTCCATTCCAGTGAATACTATAGTGATATAAATAGCCAAAACATAACCAACCCTCTTCCCACTAAAGTATTTAACAGAATATTAATTTCATTACTATGCAATCACTGAGAGTCCCTTACAGTTTTTGTTTTGGAATTTGGAGTTGAAATCAGTTTTAACTTAATAAGTCTAATAATTTGCCCCAAACAATGTCACAGAAGTGGATCTTTTGGAGAGAGAGAAGGCTCCAGGGTAGAGCATATCACTTTGAAAGATCTGGAAAATGGTGCCCAGAAAATGACCTGTTTTGATCTGAGGTTGGGAGAAGAAATGAAGATCGATTTTCTGAAGGGTTAGGGTTATATGTAATTTTTTTTTTCTTTTTTTTTTTGAGACAGAGTCTCACTCTGTTGCCCTGGCTAGAGTGAGTGCCGTGGCATCAGCCTGGCTCACAGCAACCTCAAACTCCTGGGCTCAAGTGATCCTACTGCCTCAGCCTCCCCAGTAGCTGGGACTACAGGCATGCGCCACCATTCCCGGCTAATTTTTTTCTATTTTTAATAGAGACGGGGTCTTGCTCTTGCTCAGGCTGGTCTTGAACTCCTGAGCTCAAGCAATGCTTCCACCTCGGTCTCCTGGAGTGCTAGGATTACAGGCGTGAGCCACCATGCCCGGCCTATATGTAATATTTTTATAAACCACAGACTATTAATTTATGTAAAGAATGTACCAAACTGGTTGGATAAAAGAGGAGAGAAACAAATGGCTGTTATTTTGGAACATACAGTCAGAATCTAAAGGAATCTACTTCTCCCATTTAGATGTTGGAAGTGGGGAAAAGTAGGTGGTAAAAATGCAGTCTTTTTTCCCCAAGAATTTTTTTTACTAGTTTTATCAATTTTGAATTTGCTCTGTGGTAGCCTTTTAAAATATTTTAATAAGAAGCCCAAGGATGCAAAATCGCAGAAGCACAAAATGGTAAATTTGTAAATGACTATGAAGGGTTATCTAGTCCATCCGCAGTTTGTAAAGGAGGGGATCTGAGTCACATTTTAGATGCCACTACTGCTCTGTTGAAAAGCTGTGCATTTGAGATTGCTAGTCACACATATCATGGAGCCATCTTTTCATTTTATGAAATGCAATTAAGTAATTGCTCTCTTGTATGAGTCGTTTGGGTTTATATTCCAGCTTTCTTCCAGTTGATTCTGTTTCCTTATATATGTTCCATTCTCTAGCTGCAAATACTTTCAGGAAGTAGCGAAAACATTTTCTCTTTCTTGGATCTTCTGTGTAATTCACAATTGGATGTTCTAAAGCATGTGGATAAATAAATTACTCATAAAAATGTATGTTTGGGCAGTTCATGTTGATCATTTACATCCCAAGAGAAAATCCTTGATATGGGTATATTAGTTTCCTAGAGCTGTCATACAAAAGTACCATAAATGATGTGGACTAAAAACAGAAACTTATTGTCTCATAGTTCTGGAGGCTATAGAAGTCTGAAACCAGAGTGTTGACAGGGTCATGCGTTCACTCTGTGTGTGTGTGTTGTTAAAAATTTTTTGGGAAGGGGAGGCCATTAGGCTGGGGTGGCTCCAGTGCTTTAAGCTCCTGTGTAAGCAAAATGACAGCGTAAACAGTAAAATGAAACTAGAGACTTTACCAATCAGATACCACCAACTAACCTCTAAATAGAGACTTTATCAATCAGAAACTGCCAACTGACCTATACTTAGGGTCTTTCCATTCTAACCAATCAAATATATTTTCTTTGTCTTATTCCCACCTCAGCCTATAAAAGCTTGTTACCCATGGTACAGTAATGGAGCTCTCTGAACCTGTTTTGGTTCTGAGTGCTGCCTGGTTCATGAATCATTCTTTGCTCAAATAAACTCTATTAAATTTATTTTTCCTAAAGTTTTTCTCCCAACAGTTTCTGTGCTCAAATTTCCCACTTTTATAAGGACACCAGTCATATTGGATTAGGGGCTCACCCTACTCCAGTATGACCTCATTCTAACTTAAGTAATTACATCTGTAATGGCCTTATTTGCAAATTAAGGTTACATTTTGAGACACTGGGTTTAGGATTTCAACCTATTATTTTTTGGGGGGTGGGAGAATACAATTAAACCCATAACAATGGGTGAAGTGAAAGGATACAATTATTAAAATAATTTGGGCAAAAAAAAGTTACCCACATTTACTTGATAAATCCAAGTTAGTAAGACAAAAATGGATTACAAGGGACAGCCCCAGTTTTTTTCTTTAAAGCAGACCTGGCTTTGGACCCAAGAGCATATTTTAACCATGCTTAAGTTTAAACACCATTTAAATCAGAACTTTAAAGCCTGAAATCAAACTCTGCTGAAAACTTTTTGTTTCTCACAGGGTGCTGTAGTTTAGGGGGAGGGGCATGGTATGCCTTTTATTTAAGTCCTATCCCAGGCCCTTTTATTTTCAAGACAAACTATGCAGATTTGGCAATGGCTAGACAGATAACACAGCGTTTTTCTTGTGTTTATGATACATTTAAAACTTATGCGTCTCTCTCTCTCTCTCTCTCAGATTCTTTGTGGGAGTGTAGCTGCTAGTACTTAGCTTTTCTTTTGTGTTACACATAAGTAGAATTTCTATTTATTTTTTTTTTTAGCACAACCAATTGCTTGGGAAGAGAAGTCATTCATTCAGTTAACATTTAGTGAGTGTTGTCATATAAGTACTGTGTGCTAACTCACTGTGCTGTTGGAGCTCTAACATTTAGAGAGTGTTGTGTACAGAATGCTTTTCTAGGTATTCAGACAAGATTCTTTGAGTTTAATGCATG